GATTCAGACAAAGAGGACAACCCGAAGCCGTCACGAAAGCGCAAGAGAAAACCCAAACAAAAAGCAAATGAATCTGATAAGGATGATGCTGATTTTGCGGGTTCCTCGAGCGACAGTGACTCTGTATTGGAAGATGACGACATGGACTCTGTAGAGATAACCAATATCGAGGTATGTTTCTATCTTACTTTATGTCATACTCTTTTCTGAGTTGTTTTCGAAGCTTGCTGATAGTCTTCCATCGAAAACTATTCCTTCTGGCAGAAGTCGTAAATCGAAAGGAAAGAAACCAGCCCGGAAACGTAAGCAGGTGGTAGATACATTAGAGTCTAGTTACTCGCAGTCAGCATCGCAATCGACATCGCAATCTAAATCAAGAAGTCACATCACCAAGAAAATGGTACGTTTCGAGCTACAAATAAAATTATCGCTCATTTAGCTGATTAAATCTTAGGGCGGTGGTAAACAGAATCCTATATATCTCTTTTACAAGCAGGTGGATGTCAACAAGGACGGTGAGGCAGGAGAACTGGGGGATAAGCATTACAAGTGCTACCATGGAAATCGCAAAGTTTTGACCATCTCGAAAGCAATGAACTGTAGCTTAAATGGTACGTCTATTCCATGTTCGTTGCATGTTGACTTCAATCTCTAACACTAACTCCGTTCTTAGGTTTAATCAGTCATTTGAGGAGCCATTTCCCACCACTTCACCAACTTTTCCTTTATATGAAGCTGCGGACTGAACACCCCCCGACTTCTGAAGAGATCCAGTTTGCCTCGGGACGAAAGCCATTCGACTCTTCCATCCACGCTGAATACCTTCAAAAGCTCAATGCGCAAACATCTGGTATAAAGGAAGCGTTTGCTAAACAGAAAGCCAATGCAGCTGTACGTCTTCCTCCAACGGTTACTTTCATATTTTAACCACAATTACAGGAGCCTTGGGATCAGGCAAAGTTTGAAAAGCTGCTCATTGAGTGGATCGTTGCATGCGATCAACCGTTCGACGAGGTTGAGAAACCTGAGTTTGTTTCAATGATGGAGTATAATCGGGATCCTACCAAGTTCTCGCTTCCCAAAAAGGATGGTGTTCGTCGGCGAGTCATGACTCTCGGAGAAAATACAATTGAAGAAACCAAAGCAATGTTCGGGGTATGTGGTTCTTTTTTCTTTTGGTGCCAGAATTGTGAACCTTGTCAACGGATTGTGTAGTCTCTGGAGGGAAAAATCAGCCTCTCCCTCGATGCTTGGACGTCTAGTAATGGGTACGCATTTCTGGCAATTGTTGCTCATTATGTGAGAAACAATGGACAATATGGTGAGTCGCCTTCGATGTTTACTTTTTTTTTGCTTATTTTCTGTGTAGAGGAGCTTCTAATTGATTTCTGTGAGCTCATGGGAGCACACTCCGGTGAAACATGGCAGCTGTTTTATGGTCGACGTTAGAACTTTATGGGATTGAAAATTGGGTATGTTAATTGCTGTTCTAACATTATCTTCACGCACTAACATTTCTCAGATTATGGCAATCATGATGGATAACGCAAGCAACAATGACACCATGATGGAGGCGATTGAATCACGGTGCCGTGCTGCTGGCATCGAATTTTCTGCTCAGAAGTCCCGCATGCGCTGTATGCCCCATACAATTCATCTTGCGGCAATCAAGGTCTGTTCAAGTGTGAATTTCTTTGGTTTAGACAATGGTGTTAACGGCTCCAAATATAAATAGCTGCTTGAGGGTATCGGCATCACATCAAAAGACGACAGTGCTCGGGCTCAAGCCACCAACTATCAAGATGAGGTAAATGTGGGGGTTGAGCGTGAATATGACATGGATACAGCCCAGGAGATGGAAGGGGAAGATAGCGATATTGTCAACGAGAGGCCGTCAAATGATATCCAGTCAGCCGTTTACAAAGTAAGTGAGATAGCGCCTATCGTGTAACGCCTTCTGCTGATGATAATTCGCAATCTCACTCAGCTTCGTAAAATTGTACGCTCTGTTCGCGCAAGCCCTCAGCGTCGTCAACATTGGTATCAAGAAGTCGACAGGATGAACGCGCAGCTCTTGCTGACTGAGCAAAAGTCTGTGTTGATGCTCATCCTCGATGTTAAGACCCGATGGTCGTCGACTCATCAAATGTTGCGTACGTCTTCTTTAAATTGAATTAAAATATTTAAACTGATCGTTAACTTTCAGGACGTGCCCTTGATTATCGCAAAGCTATCGACTCTTTTGTCCATCTTCATAGTGACCTTTGGCCGTATTTACTTTCCGATGAAGACTGGCACTCGATTGATCTGGTCACTGCCTGGCTCAAGTCTTTCCGGACAGCTACTACACAGATGTCTGCTACCCAGACACCCATGCTGTCGTCGACGCATGCTATTTTTCGTGGGCTGGAAGAAGATCTCCAAGATATAATCCGATCCCTCCCCAATTCCACGTCACCACGTCTGATGAAAGGACTCACAGATGCCCATCGCAAACTCAGTGATTACTATGAAACATATGATGAGTCTCCGTTTTATATTTGGTCTTCATGTACGTTCAATTTCATTTTAATCAAAGATTGTCACGGGTTTCTTACTGTCCTCTATCTGCAGTATTGGACCCCCGTATTTCTTATGAAGCTATGAGGGACGAGTTCGAGAACGATGCTGATCTTGCTGCTCATTTGGAGACAGCCAAAGCTGATCTACAGGAGTATTTCAAAGTCAATTACCTGTCACCCCAAGCCTCAGGGGAGAATCCTTATCAGTCACTCAGTGCAACGACATCCCTTTCTTCTGTTACATCGTCATCATCTTCGGGATCTTCTCCAAAGAACTTCACTGCCAGATTCCAACGCAGGCATACTTGTACGAACGAATTGACTGAATTCTGGAACTTGCGACAGGAAGATTTCATTACTTGTGATCCCCTTCAATGGTGGCACGGCCGTCATGCTCAATTCCCACAGCTCTACTGCCTCGTTCGTGATATTTTCTCAATCCCAGGTAATTATCTCGTCAACCTCCTATCTATTATGCTAATTTACCATTTATTAGGATCCGCTATAGCCGTTGAACAGATTTTTTCTGGCGGTCGAGATACTATATCTCTCCGTCGCGCTAGTCTCAAGCCAGAAACCATCCGGACCCTCATGTTGGTGAAGAGGAAGTTAATAATTTCACGAGAGAAGATTGCCGCTAAACTTCGTCAGCCCCCAAAACTACCCATTTAATCTTTGTTCCATAGTTTTATCATATACCGTAAATACGGCCGTATAACCATAGTTCCTCCCGTACCGTATCGTCTGGCTATTCAACTCTAACTTGTACGGTACGGATGAGTTGTGGAAGGGCCCGTATGGAGCCCGTAAGCTGTACGGCTGTACCCGTAATACGTACGGTGCGAAGCCCTAATAATGTGCGAGCTGCAACTCCTCAACACTGATCCGCCGCATAACATGCGAGCAGCAATCAGTACTTCTGAGGGACTCAGAAGGTTACCATGATTGAAGAAGAGTCTGCCGTGTAATGCACAAGCTGCAACTCCTCCACACTGATCCACTGCGAAATGCGCGAGCAGCAATCGGCCTTCTGAGAGAGCCAGAAGGTTACCATGACTGAAGAAGAGTCCGCTGCGTAATGCGCGAGCAGCAACTCTCAACCAGTTGAGGTGTCTCCCCTGCCCATAAGAGTCCTCCAATCAAGTCTTAACACCCCAAATAGAGGGGAGATCCTGAGGTAGCCAAAAATGTGTTTGAGCATAGCGTAGTGATTTCTGGCCCGTTCCTGGAGATCAAATACCCGTTCGAAAGCTACGAACGACGCCTTTCCAACGGTGTAATTCGCGTATCGTGACGAGCCGTGGTTGTCGAGATAGAGAGGTAATACACAGAAACTGCAGTTCTGGAGTAAATGCATACTGCAGACCAGGCTGTCGTCCGTTATCGATGTGAATAGGTGCGTCGGAAAGGTACAAATCCAACGTTTAAAACGGGCTATAGAACATGCGATGCGAGCAGGTTATGACAATAGGAATGGGGAAATGGTTGTGGGAGAGATGATGCTGTAACGCAAGAACCGCTTGTCCGTTTGATGCGTATGAGGGCTTCCCAGAAGCGCATTGACCAAGGCTTTAAAACAAACCAAAGAACGAAAGGGGTGACGAAGATCTCGCCGAGAACGGACGAAATATGTTCATCTTGGTCACACCAGGCTGAACTAGGTGAAGCGCCGCCAATAGGTGACCGTTTAGCGAGTTCAGGGGGTCCAAAGAAAGGTGTGAATGAGGGCTTTCCAACGCAAAAAAGACAAGAGCGATACGACCGTCGGTTGGCGAGATATGACATGAACAAGTCACATGCAAATGGTTGCTGGAGGGATGGTGCTGTGACACGAGAACCGCTTGTCCGTTTGATGCGTATGAGGGCTTCCCAGAAGCGCATTGACCGTGGCTTCAAAATAAGCCAAAGAAGTTGAACAAAAGAGAATGCGCCAGCTCTCCCTCTACCAAGAAATGCAGACTTCAACCATGCTTTGGTGAAGTCCGCAGTGCCCCCACCATTGTGAAGCGTTCACTCTGAACTTCTCGCATAGCTGAAGCCAAGAGGGAAGGAGGCAAGAATGGGTGGATCTGGGATCAACACCCATGAGTGAGCAATGAGCAGTTACAAGATACTCAGCTGGCCCAACATGATTATGCATACTGTAGAAAGTACAGATATACAAAGCACTACATGTAGTGCAAGAGGATGGCAAGACTGCTGACAAGATGGTGGTTCAAGACAAAAGATCAATATATTATGTAAGATATTCAAATCTTGCTATATACCATTGTTTGACTATGGCCTCTGGGCATTCCCTTCCAATCCTATATCACACTCATCACTACCGCAACCTCATCTACCACTGCCACAACCTCATCTGCCTCTTCCACGACCGCGTTGCCACCTGCAGCCGTCTCTGTTACCAACAAAACAGACGCTTTCGCAAACCCTCGAATCATGTCACAGATGAAGGCAACATTTACAGAGCAATATGCCGTGGAGCAGCATTTAGAGGAGAAGAAAAGGGCTGAGGATGCAGAGCGTTTGTCACACATTAAAAAGGCTAAGAACCATGTTATTGGGTACGGCTGGGCAACGGTATGTTGTCTCCTTGTACCTACGTACATCCACTGATTTGACTGGCTAGGACCATTTTGAACCCACTATCTCTGAATTTCAGGGTGGGTTTGTGTGGCCCCATTTCATCACCACCACTGATGTCCTTTCCGACTTGGACATACCCCTTGATGTGAACCCGTCTTCGACACACATCAAGCTTTACCATCATCAGGTCCACACTTGGACTAAGGTTTCTGTTGGCCATGTTGTCACCCCCAAGGATGGCGATAGGATCTTTCTGAAGGCTCTTGGCATCTCCCACTGTCTTAACTTTGATGATCTGTTGACGAAGTCCCTGAGCCAGGGGGGCAGTATCCATATCAGAAACAATTTAGCCGGTGAACATGCATTTGTTCGCCAACAGCTCAAGTCTCGCACCAGCCCCTCACCCGAGTTCACGTTCAGTGATGCTGAGCCAACCACCAAGTCCACACAGCACATTCCCAAGTCCGTAGCTCGTTCAACCCAACCACCTAGCCCTGATTCCTCTATCAACATCACTGCGACACAAGACCCACTGCTGAGCCTCAAATCAAGACACCATCACCTAGTGTTCGAAAGTCCGGTTAGGTTAGGTTATTGGGTGCCCAGGGGCTCTAACCGAGACCGAGACAGGTTAGCCTTTGTCCTGAAACCTAAAATAACCTAACCAGACTGCAACTAACCGGTTACGGTTGGTTATTTGCAGTTACTAACCGGTTAGGACCGAAAAATAAAGAATCAGTTATAACAAGGCAAATATGCTCATATGTATTTTGATAGATATTATTCCTGCATATTCTAGCTTTAAAACGAGCCCAAGAACGCTAACATTGGTGAAGAATTGACATATTTATGCAATTATCCTTGAAAGTCTATACATTTGAGTGATATTTTAGAGATTTGACTGTAACTTAGTCAAATTTTAAGCGTTTTCGACGTTCTAAAGTGCGTTTTGAAGGTGTATAATAGGGCTGGTCATAATCGGTTATTCCATTTTCGAAATCAACTAACCCTAACTGCGGTTAGGTTAGTGTTGCGGTTAGGTCCGGTTATTTTCCGGTTATTTTCCAGTTAACTAACCTAACTTTCAAACACTACCATCACCCTCCATCATTGTCAGACATCTCTCTCTCAGATGATGACTGCCCCACGCATATCAATATGTCGAATGCAAAGAAGGACAAGGGCAAGGGCTGTAAGCAGTCCTCAGAATGCACAAAGGACCACCTAAGCCAAAAGGCAGAATAACTGAGAAGTTATATTCTCAGCCAGTGCATCCTATATATGATACAGTATGGGAACTGTAGTAATCATGCCATGATTACAAGGGCAAGGGCAAGGTGCCAGTCAAAGTTGAAGAGGCATCAGATGCAGAGTTTGAAGTACGTGGCAGGGTACCACACATTGGAAACCACACAGTTACGGTTGAACAAGTGACTGGTAGCTACCACTTACATCATGTACTCCTGAGCTGTACCATAGGAATTCCTGCTTAGCTGCCGTGAATGAAATGAAATGAATTTTCATTCATTCATGGCACCTGTTTCATTCTTGATAATTTATTCTGTTTCATTCATTCCTGGTGACTGTTTCATTTTTTTATTTCATTCCACCATGGCAACTGTTTCATTCTTTGCTTCATTCATTCCTGGCGACTGTTTCATTTTTTTAATTTTATTTCACCATGGCAACTGTTTCATTCTTTGCTTCATTCATACTAGGGCAGTCATTCATTTTTATTTCATTCTTCTCAGGTGCCTGTTAGAGCTGGGAAAATGATTATGTAATTGATGCAAAATATTTCAGTGCCTTAATTGGCAACAGCATACATATCTTGTTATGTATTTGAGCCTCAAATCCAAAAGTACCTCCATATGACCCCACACACCACTGCAGTAGGGCACAACACACATCAGGCATAATTGTATATCATTTCCTTATTTAGATGTGTATTAAAACATTGAAATTGTTGCCTGAAAGAATGAAACAGAGATGAAATAACTGCCTGAAAAGAATGAAATGAAAATGCTACAGCAATGAATGAAACGAAGCAAAGAATGAAACAGTTGCCATGGTGGAATGAAATTAAAAAATGAAACATTTGCCAGGAATGAATGAAACAAAATAAATTTCATTCTTGTCAATAGCAATACTTATCACTCCCCCACCTATTCCTACTGGACTCCAGGACTCCAGTAGGATTCCTACTGGATTTTGACAAAATTTCCAAAAAGGCATTTTCACATATTTCTCCATTCCCCCTCCTACTGGACTCCTACTGAACTTAAACAAATTAGATGAAATGCTCCACACATTGAAGTCCTACTGGATTCCTACTGGAATATCAACTTCAATGTATTACCAAGTCAGAACTTCAAATTTCTATTCAAAATTCACATTTAAACAAATGTTGTATTGTGAAATGACAACTAAATACAGAAAGATATTTTACTAATGTAATGAGGGAGGGGGAGGGAGTGATGGAGTGATGGAGGGAGTGGTGGAGGGAGAGAGCTATGGAAGGAGGGGAAGTGAGTGAAGTGAAATGATGGAGGGGGGAGGGGGTGAGAGAGGTGGAGAGAGGAAGAGAGGGAGGGAGGGAGGAAGAGAGGGAGGAAGAGAGGAAGGAGGGAGGAAGAGAGGGAGGGAGGGAGGAAGAGAGGGAGGGAGGGAGGAAGAGAGGGAGGGAGAGAAGGATGGTGGGAGAGAGAGAGGGAGGGAGGGAGGGAGGAAGAGAGGGAGGGAGAGAAGGATGGTGGGAGAGAGAGAGGGAGGGAGGGAGGGAGGGAGGGAGGGAGAGAGGGGAACAGAGAGAAGGAGACAGGGAGGAGAGATACACTGAGTCGTCGTTTCGTGGGCGCTGTGTCAATTGCACACATAGGTGGGGTGTTTTTCGAGGGTGGCGGATGTCGTTTGTGGGCGGCGGGCGTTTTTCGTGGGCGGCGGTCGTCGTTTGGGTTTAGTGGGTGTGTTTTGTGGGCGGCAGTCGTCGTTTGCATGGGCGGTGGATGTTGTTTGTGGGCGCTAGGCGTTTTTCGTGGGCGGTGGATGTCGTTTGGGTGTGCTGGGTGCTTTTCGTGGGCGGCGGTTGTCGTTTGCATGGGCGGCGGCTGTCGTTCATGGGTGCTGGGCGTTTTTCGTGGGCGGCGGTTGTCGTTTTTGTGGGTGGCGGGTGTCGTTTGTGGTGGTGGGTGTTATGGTCGTCGTTGGTGGGTGGGAGCGGGTCGCTGTCCCTCGTCTTTCTTGTTTGTTGTGTCGGCGGGCGCTCGTGGTTTGTGGGTGGTTGTTTTGTCCGTGAGTGGGGTCGTCGTTGCGTGCCGTGGTCGTTTGTTGTCGTTGTCTGTCGTGGCCGTTGTTGTTGTCGTGGTCGCGTGTTGTCGTCGTCCGTTGTGGTCGTGGTGGGCGACGTGTTCGTGGTGGGTGAGCAAGACGGTGGTGATGGTGGTGTTGTTGAGTGTTGTTGGGTTTGGGCAAAATTCTCACTCGCGGAATTCGCCGACGTCCTTTCTAGGAAGGAGGTCAGTACGTTGGTATATAGAGCATATAATAATGACCTATAATAATGCCTTCCTAGTGTAACTGGTAAAGTGCTTGTCTCTATAGTATTGTCCCTATGTCCATAAGGTTGAGAGTTCAATTCTGTCAGGTTGCGCTTTTTTTAATATTATATAATAACAACAACAGTGACAAACTGCTGGTCCTACTGGGCTCCCTGTCCCCGGAAATTCCTACTGGACTCATTCCTTAAAAATCCAGTAGAATTCCACAATTCCTGGTGATTTGGGTTCAGTCCGGTAGGAATTTACTAGGACTCCACTAGGACTAGGATACAAAATTTGTATGGTGATCAGCCAACATAAAATGTGTCCCAGTCCTAGTCCAGTCCGGTAGGATTCCGGGAATCCAGTAGGAGTCCGGTAGGAATAGGTGGGGGAGAGTAAAGAGCTCGTCAGTAGAAATGAAGAAAAAAATCGAAATGAAATGAAATGAAACAAAAAATATTTCATTTTCCATGGCAATGAATGAGAATGAATTGGAATGAAACAGGTGCCGTGAATGAATGAAAATTCATTTCATTTCATTCACGGCAGCTAAGCAGGAACTTCTGTGGTACATGCCAGGTTTTACATGATGTAAATGGCAGCTACTAGTGAACAAGTGGAGCAGCAGGCCTGTTATGGTACATGCATATGTACCTACATATATCCACTATTCCCTTTCAATTCCCTTTCAATCTGTTAGGCATTCCTTTATTTTCTTAACTAAGTTTTATGTATTAACAAATTACTACCAAGTACGCACGTATATACCCGAATCCAACGTGTTTGATCATGTACAATGCAAGGCGACTGCTTGACAATATTTGGAGGTCAGGGTTTAGACAAACAAAGCTGAACCAAATATGTCAAACAAAGACTCCAGACTTAGTGACGAGTCAGGAAGGTTCCTACACATTCCCTCAAGATCTAGAAGTAGTAGACAAGGTACTTAAGGATGTCCATAGCTTAGAACAATTCATTCATTCTTACTTCCCCAAATATCGTGTGAACTTGAGATCTTAAGTAAAGACTATGTAACACAGCGCTAGAGAACTATTAGATAAGGCCTCGTGCTATCAACAGTCTCTGATTTGAATCATTAAACACTTCGTGCTAATGTTTTCGACTCCGTTCCGTTCCTCATCAAACGTTAAGGTACAACAGGACCATCACGATCTAAGGACACGTTCCCCTCACTCGACTCTAATCATATTCGCTCACAAAGGATTAAATGTAAGTTTTACTTTAAACATTTTAAACTAATGAATCATATTCATAGGAATATGCCAACATTAGAGTCGACGCAATCGCGAACTCTAACATTGGTGGACACACTGGGAACTTGTCCCTATGTTCATGTTGGCATCCACGCGATCATCAGATCTCAAGGTCCAAGATCTTTGGAAACATACAAATGTTTCCGTTACCAATGGAACATGTTGCACCCACACGACACAGGTAGCTTTCTAATCTATCAATAGAATTTCAAATACGTCTATAACCGGTTCTATGGATAATACATAGTGATTGTCACGAGTTTTGCAACCCGTGCGGGTTGTGGGTAGGGGTACAGGTTTGATCTCCACTACCTCGCCAA